AACAGACTCAACTTGTTCCTAATTAATATTTTTGTTTCCCTTTAATGCTTAAATGGTTACAATATGACGACTGCATTTCCCTTTTAAAATGCCTTCCTTTTTTGATACTTTCCTAGATAACTGAAAGAATTATTTCTAACAACAAAATATGTTTCTGACCCCTTTTATTTTCCCTGCCACAAAACATGAAATAAATTTGTTCCCAAGAAGACCATTATTGCTTTTAAGAAGAATAGTATATTAGAAACCAAATCTGGGCTTGGGGGTGCATGGTCAATGGTTCTTCGTGGCTCTGGGAATACAAAGATGACAGCAGGGAAAGGCTACTTACATTCCTTAAGATGCAGAAGGAGGCGTTCTTCTTTTTTAAATAAACAGTCACCAGTTTATGATGATGGTTCCAATTCACTCTTACTTTCAATGAGTTATTTTTTTAAATTAGCTCTAACAGAAAATTTTTAAATAAAAGGTTTTTCCCCCTGAGGTACCAGCTTTTCCTTTTTGTCTCCTCTCTATGCTATGTATTTTCCTACCAAACCATATGTGTAAATTTAAATGTTGAACTGAAATTAAGAAGTCCTCATTTCCTTCTTTTTCCCTTTTTAATTTTTTGACCCTTGGCCTAAACATCCTGGAGTCAGTGGCAAAGTGTGCAAATTCAGATGATATTTTTTTGTCATATGTTCATCATCTGAGCATATCAGCAAATGTCAGAAAAGAAAGTCCAACTCCCAACCACCACCAACACCTCAGAGATAAACAAAGGTACTTAAAGACCATTTGCCAAAACAAACTTAGCATCATTTAATCAGATTTATTCAAGAATCCTGCTCCATATTTCTCTATTTGAGCTCCATTCTTTGAATATATATCCTGCTTTCCCCATTACTTTTCTTTTTTCCAGAGCCATGCCCATTTTTCTATCATCAGCAGTTTTAATGCTGAACTCCAATTTCTAGTAACATCAGCTTTTTACTCCCGTACATCTATAAAACCAGCCTGTCAGCAAATCTTATTCAGTTCTTTCTCTGAATAGTCCCAGAATTTGACCACTCCTCACTAGCCCCAGTACCAACACTCAGTCCACTTTATTTATATACCACTGTCATCTCATCTCCAGACTTGAAAATTAGCCTCATCAATGGCCTCCCTACTTTCATTCTGTTCCTCAACACATCAGCCAAAGAGACACAATTAAAAATTAGATCACATCAGATCTTGCTTTTCTGCTCAACCACTTCAGTGGCCTCCTGGTGCACTCAGTGTAAAAGCCAAAGTACATACAATGGTCTACAAGGTCCTACAAAGGCTGCCTCTTCTTTACCTCCCTGGCCTCACAGTCTTTTTCTCTCCCTTTTCCTCCTTCATTATTTATTGAACTTGTTAGGTATACTCCCATCTCAGGGACTTTGAACTAACTATGCCATTTGATTCTCAAGGACGCCAAGGTTTGCTCCCTCACTTCCTTCAAGTCTTTTTCTTTTTTAAATTTTTATTGGAATATAGTTGATTTATAATGTATTAGTTTCAGGTGTACAAAGTGAATCAGTTATACATATACATATATCCACTCTTTATTTTTTTTTTAGATTCTTGTTCCATATAGGCCATTACAAAGTATTGAGTAGAGTTCCCTGTGCTATACAGTAGGTTCCTATTAGTTATCTATTTTATATTTAGTAGTGTGTATATGTCAGTCCCAATCTCACAATTTATCCCTCCTCCCTCCCTTATCCCCTGGTAACCATAAGTTTGTTTTCTATATCCATGACTCTACTTCTATTTTTGTAAGTAAGTTCAATTGTACTCCCCCTTTATTTTAGATTCCACATATAAGCAATATCATATATTTGTCTTTCTGTGTCTGACTTACTTCACTCAGTATGACAATCTCTACCTCCATCCATGTTGCTGCAGATGGCATTATTTTGTTCTTTTTTATTGCTAAGTAATATTCCATGTGGTATATATGTATCACATCTTCTTTATCCATTCCTCTGTTGATGGACATAGGTTGCTTTCATGTCCTGGCTATTGTAGATAGTGCTGCAATGAACACTGGGGTGCATGTATCTTTTTGTATTATGATTTTCTCTGGGTATATGCCCAGGAGTGGGATTGCTGGGTCATATGGTAGTTCTATTTTTTGTTTTTAAAGGAACCTCCATACTGTTCTCCATAGTGGCTGCACCAGTTTACATTCCCACCAACACTGTAGGAGGGTTCCCTTTTCTCCACACCCTCTCCAGCATTTGTTGTTTGTAGATTTTTTTGATTGGTGTGAGGTGATACCTCATTGTAGTTTTCACTTGTGTTTTTCTAATAATTAGCGATGCTGAACATCTTTCCATGTGCTTCTTGGCCATCTGTATGTCATCTTTGGAGAAATGTCTATTTAGATCTTCCCCCCTTTTTTGATTGGGTTGTTTGTTTTTTTGATATTGAGCTACATGAGCTATTTGTATATTTTGGAGAGTAATCCCTTGTCGGTTGCTTCATTTGCAAATATTTTCTCCCAGTCTGAGGGTTTTGTTTCGTTTATGGTTTCCTTTGCTGTGCAAAAGTTTTTAAGTTTAACACATTTTTGACGGGAGACGTATTACGGCCACAGGCGTTAGTTTCTGCAAAAATCCCCTGGGTCAATAATGTGTTAATTAGATCCCATTTGTTTATTTTTGTTTTTATTTTCATTACTCTAGGAGGTGGATACTTCCTTTAAGTCTTAATTCAAGAATCACTTTCTCACTAAGACTCTCTTGGTCTTACCTTTCCCATCAATTGTTCTCCTTATCCCTACCCCTACTTCATATCCTTTCTCTGCTATGTGCTGTCTTCCCCTTAAGACCTACCATTAATATAATCTGTAGTTTATTTTCCTTGTTTATTGGTTTTCTATTTGACTAGGATATAAGTTTGGGTTTTTTTAGGACATAAGTTTTACGGCAGCAGTGTTCTATATCCATCTGGCTCACTGATCTTTCCCCAGGGCCTAGAATAGTGTCTCGTACATAATGGGTGCTCTATAAATATATTCATTTCAGTGAATGAATGAAAAATATCAGAAAAATATAACAAGTTAGCATAGATATATATTGGAAAAATATAACAAATATTAAATTAGAAACTACCCAGAAAGATTTCAGTGCACAACGTGCTCTGTGAATTTTCACAATGATAGTGTCCCACAAGAAACAACTCACCAAAGACAAATATACAACTGAATTATAGAACACTCTAGTTACAGTTCTACTCTCATTATATTTAGAAACCCCAGTGCCAATACAAGTAATTTCCAGACATCACTGGTGCATCCCCAGTGAAACCGTGCCCCACAAGGTTAAAAAGCTCATTCTGAACCTGTGCCCCATAGGGTTAACAGAAACTGGCGACTGACAGCAATTCTTTAGCTTGTCTTACAGAACAGCAGATACGGGAGAGTCTTGTTAAAAATCCCTATGCTTGTAATCTGCCTCCACTCATCAAACTTGCCTTAATTGTTCCTGCAAATTGCGTACCTTCCAAGCTTCACATACCTTAGACAAATACTGTATATCACAAGACTCCTTTAACCACCCCCTACAGATAACACCTCTGACATATGGGTCGCTACAGTAATGGCTGCTTCAGAAACATGGAGCTAATCTTGCCCAGTTCAAACTGGTCAAGACCACTTGACCATTCAACTGAGCCTGCTCAGGTGTGCAATGGGTGACCTTTTGACATCTGAGGGCCAAAAGTTCCACCCCCAGATCATGCTAACACCCACATTTTCTGAACATACATCCTGTGAAGAAGCATGTAACTCAGATATGCCTGCAAAGAGCAGACATTACCTCACCTTTTTCCTGCCTCCAAACACCTTCACGGGCCTCTCTGACTACGCTATACTCTTCATGCACAAACAATCCAAGCCCCTTGCCTTTGGGGAGGTGGATCAGAGATTTGCTCTCCTGTTTCCTCACTTGGCTGTCTCTTGAATAAACCCTTTCTCTGCTGCAAACCTCAGCGTCTCAGCATTAGGCTTTCTGCATGTCGGACAAAGAAACCTGGTTTGGTAACACCAGCAGTTTTTGTCCCACATGTTTAAAAAGAAAAAAAGAAAGCATAGAGGATTCAGAAAAATGTATCTACATATGTAAAGGCCAAAATTTTGCATGGATTCTATTATGCTCTGTCTACAATCCTCAATTTTGTAGTATACAGTTAAGTGCAAGGTAATTACAGAATAAAATACAAACCACCTTTCATAATTAAAACCCACAAAATTGACCCTATTTACCATAAAAGATTTATCTCATTCAAGTAAAGATCATCTGAATTAAAAAATTTTAATTCCCTAATTGTAGCATGCATCTTTTCATTCGTTCAAATTTAAAAGTTTAATATTTTAAAGTCCTCATATGGAAATCATTTGCAATTTGCAAGTGTAAACCTTAAAAAGTCACTTTTACTAAAAGATGTGGATACTGAGCGTATTGGGGTCTGGGCTGCTTGGAAGGGAGGGAGTGGAGAGTACAAGACCTCAGAAGCCAGGACCTCAAGTCAAAATTCTAAAATTAACTTTCCCCAGCCCCAGAAAAAAAACGTCCTTCAAAATCTTTAGCCATGAAGAACTATTTAATAACCAGTATTCTCGGTGTATTCCTCTATAAAAATTCCACCACCATCACTCCCACCAAATCTCTAAATCTTTTTTTTTTTATTATTCCAGGCCAGCAATATGGCTTTTTCCTAAATAAATAAAATTAAATGCCAATCACAAAACTTAGAGATTTAAAATACAACCCAATTAATAAAGCCCTCTAAGTAGTCTTAAAACCATTCTTTTCAGTATGTTTGGGAACTATGGACCACACTAGAAATAATAAAATCTGCAACATTTCTAATCTGACCTTTAAAAATAATCTAGTTAAGAACAGAGTATTAGCATTGTTTTCTGGATAATTTATTTTTGAAGAGCAAATAACTTCAATGTGCTATAATATCCCCTAACTACTCAGGTTTCCTGCCAATCTCAGCAACACTTTCTTCAAAGTAAATGGTGGAAAAAGAACAATGTAAGTGTTTTGAAAATGAGAAATAAAGTAACTTTATGTTTATATTCTTCACTTGGGTGGGGTATAGTTCTTATAAGTGAACGACTTCAGGGATTTGGAAATAGGAACTTAGATTTCTTTGGGGATCAGAATATCAATCTATTTCACATAAAGCATACTTATGGCTCTAGTGATAACGAGGCTATGCAGAGGGTAAGAAGAGATGAAGGAAGTTGTAAAGAAAGTTGCAACTTCGATTAAATAAAACCCAGTTTCTCTAATATTGGCAATGGTGGGAGAATCACAACTTGGAAGGACAACAGGGCTTTCCAGGCCTAGGCTTCCTTGGCTTTACCTTGAGGTTTTCTCAATAATTACTGACACTACTGTGCTGGCCTTAACCATTTTACATCCTAGACCAAGCATCTCTTTCCTTAATACCCCAGAGCATAGCCAAGAAAAATCTCTCATGTTTCAAAAGAATTTATACCAAGACTAGGGGGATACAAAAAGAGGAAGCAACTAGACACCAAGGTTAAGACATGGAATGACAAAATCCATTTTGGCTTTTCCTCTCCTACTTAGCCAGCCACCACCTAGATGCCACCTTACCACTGTGCATCCAGATACGTACATTTCAGTATCACCCATTCCTAAAGTCTAGACCCAAGACTGACGCCATTTATTCAAATTTACTTAACATTCTGGAAACATGCTATGATGTTTCATACTTTTTTGGCATGACACTGCTTCCTTTGGAATATTTTTCCCTATTCATCCTCTGAGACCCAGTCTAAGCATCTTTCCTCCATGAAGTCTTCTCTGACTACCCTATGTAGAGTCATTCCTTCCTCTAAATTGTATATGCCTCTTACCATATTCCATGGCAATTACTTGTTTATGACTCTGTCTCCATGAGATTAAGCTCACTGACTGAAGGAACCCTGCTTTGTTTAATCTCTGTATTCCTTCTTCCCAGTTCCAGGCAAAGTATTTATTAAGTGTCTAATGCCTGGTTATCTGGATGAATGGTTAAAGGTAGCTCTAATACCTCTCCTTTGGAATGAAATATACAGACTTTGTGATTACTATGTTACTCACAGCCCTTTTTTGTTTACTTCCAGGTTTTAGCTATGTTCCTCATGTTGACATTGCCAAAAGTCTGATTTCTGGATAAGTAGGTTGTTACTGTACCATATAACTTTACAACATATTCTATTCCAACTGTGGCCAAAATGACTAAAACAGCACTTTCCCATTAAGAGTTGCGTACTTTTGGGACTTCCATGGTGGTCCAGTGGCTAAGACTCTGTGCTTCTAATGCAAGGGGGCCCGGGTTCGATCCCTGGTCAGGAAACTAGACCCCACATGCCACAACTAAGAGTTTGCATGCTGCAACTAAAGATCCCACGTGCCACAATGAAGATCTCGCATGCCACAACGAAGATCCTGCATGCCACAACAAAGATCCCACATGCCCCAACTAAGACCCGGTTTAGCCAAATAAATATTTTAAAAAAACGAGTTGTGTACTTTTGAGTAAATCAGGTTACTTGTGTCCCCTAAACAAGATGTTACTTTTTCCTAACTAAATGTCTTTATGATTCTCTACCTATCTCCTTCCACTCCCAATATTATATCTAAAACCTTTTTGCAACAGATGTTTAAAACATATGCATATGTACTTTGTTTAAATTGATATCACTATTTTCTTTCCATATTAAAACACACACCCATGCCATATTTATCTTTCCATTGTTATAACATATCAATTATGTTTTTTCACTGACTTAATTGCCACAGATTTTAAAGTACATCTAGACATTTTTCTGACTTTATATTAAGCAAATCTTAAGTAAACTACATTGCAATTGTATCTATGAGAAAGTTCTAGATTTCCAATCTAATGGTAGAGTGACTGTCCTTAAACTTTATTTATCTTTCTACCTCACTTCCTTGTCCACAGTCCTTCTGTTTTCCATATACCCCTCGCAATAAGTAAGAGTTGAAATGGTGTTTTTCTGAGGTGAAAGTAATGTTTTCCTAAGCTTAAAATACTGATCTCAAAATCACAAATTAAATAATTGGTACTAAAAATACAATATACTTTTTATAATCCTTTCAAAGTTATAAAATCACATTACCTGATTAGACTGTGATAATCTTAGGACGGTAGGGAATTCATCTTTAAACTTATCTTTAAGGACCATAATTGCTTTCTGGATCCCCTCGACTAAGACAAAAAGAAGTTAGGGGGTTAAAAAAAAAAGCTTAACTAAAAATCCCCTAAACATAATTTAAAAGATCATGGAACACTGGGTCCACCTTGGGGATTTAATTCCCAGTTTCCACACCCATATCCCCTTTACAGGAAGACTGTGCATACTTCTTCCAGAGAAGTTCTTCAACATCTGCCCACATATCCGCCCAACAGGTTTGACTGGCATGTTGAGTTCTTGCTTGGGTTCCTAGTTCGAGGCAAGCTTACAGGCCTGGGCACTGCTTGTCCTACTCTACCATTAGTGAGGGATGATGGCAGCCTTCCACTTAGGAACGCAGGCAAGGACAGAACCTGCAGCTCACTGCAGGGATTCTTTGTTACTTCACAATGGGCCTCTGAGAACTTGTTACAGAATCCTCTGAAATCACTCTGGCAGTGAGCAAGAAGAGTGTGTTTGGAGGCACAAGGGGAGGAGAAATGGGATTGGAAAGTGAAGCACACTAAGGAGTTCTGCAATATGAATTAAATTTTGCCCCAATTTCTGCAGTGATACTTCAATTACTGGATCACCTGAGAACAAAGCTCCCTTTGAAAAAAGCTGGCATACGCTTTAAAAGAAATGCTTCACACTTGATGCCACGTGGAAAAGAAACACCAGCAGTTAACTCAGAAAGACTTCTGAACAGGTTGTTTTTCCTTCACCCAAATGAGGATCACTAGGTCAGACCCAGGCAAAATTGTGAAGTCTTTGGTTTGCCTTCTTTAAGATCTTAACCTTTTTTTCTTCTTCATCTTTGTCTCTTCTAGCACTCTCCCACCTCAGATGACCATTATTTTCCTCTTATCAAACATGGGAAGAACTGCATATTATGCAGACTTGATTGACTACCTGGTTATATTTTAGTGTGGATGAGCTGAGTTGGTTAACTCAAATCCCATTTTATTTATTTATTTATTATTTTTTAAAAATAAATTTATTTATTTTATTTATTTTTGGCTGCATTGGGTCTTTGTTGCTGTGTGCGGCTTTCTCTAGTTGCAGCAAGCAGGGGCTATACTTCGGTGCAGTGCGCGGGCTTCTCATTGCGGTGGCTTCTACTGTTGGGGAGCACGGGCTCTAGGCACGTGGGCTACAGTAGTTGTGGCACACAGGCTCAGTAGTTGTGGCTCGCGGGCTCTAGAGTGCAGGCTCAGTAGTTGTAGCGCATGGGCTTAGTTGCTCCGCGGCATGTGGGATCTTCCTGGGTCAGGGCTCGAACCCGTGTCCCCTGCATTGGTAGGCAGATTCTTAACCACTGCACCACCAGGGAAGCCCTCAAATCCCATTTTAATTTGAAGCCTTTATATTTAACTGCAGCTAGATGGATTTCTTCGGCAAGTATAAAACTGGCTGCTGGAGGTCTATTTAGGGAACTGTCCAGGAAAGAGAAATGTTCATCAAAGGATTCCTCTAGATTGTGAAGCCTGCCAGATCCCCAGCTTTCACTTTGTCCTTAGTCCTTATCTGCCTGAGAATACTCTCCATCACAGCACAACCACCTCTCTGAACCTTAACAGATCCTGCTTTCCTCCATCATAAATCTAATGCTTAAGATAATTATACCCCTAACATTTGGAAAGTGAAATCTATTGCCAGAAAGAATTATTAGACAATGATGAACACACAAACTGGGAGCCTATAAGAAAATGAAAACTTTATTTGTCCTATTAAGATAACTTGGCTATCAGAGTCTACCAGAGTAACACCTGTTAGGACCTGCTCTCTCTGGTCTTATTCTATGTTCTCCACTCCCATCAACTCCCTAATTCTTTTTTCCATCTGCCCACCCTCAATGTCCTAGCTCCCAGTTGTTTCACTCAGTTTTCTTTTCATCCATTCTCACCCTCCTAGGCATCCTATAAAACTAACAAATCTACAAGAAAAACATATCATGTTAATATTTCCCACACTTCAAGCTTAACTGACTCTTTGTTAATTATTCTAACAAAATTCTTTTTGTCTTTTCTTTCTTAATGACCCCCTCTCAGGATGCGGAATGGTAGAAAAAGGCAGGGGGTGATAAGTAAAAAAATTCCACCTTGGGCTTCCCTAGTGGCGCAGTGGTTGAGAGTCTGCTTGCCGATGCAGGGGACACGGGTTCGTGCCCTGGTCTGGGAAGATCCCACATGCCACGGAGCGGCTGGGCCGGTGAGCCATGGCCGCTGAGCCTGCGCATCCGGAGCCTGTGCTCCGCAGCGGAAGAGGCCACAACAGTGAGAGGCCCGCGTACCGCAAAAAAAAAAAAAAAAAATTCCACCTTGCCACACTTAACATTTTTGACCATATCTGATAATGTTTTGGTTTTTATTTAATCATATCTTATACCTATATCCTTACACATCTTACACTATTACAGATAAAGTTAGATGAAATAATGTCAATGGCTATCTTTAATTGTTATTCTTTACAACTCATAATTGAGTGCTCCATACTTACAAAATAAATTCTAATAAGAATCTGAGGCAGTTTGTATGTAGGATGTTTGAAAATTGAATCATTTGAAATGTACTAAGGGAACTTATTCTTTAAAAGTAACTAACCCTCGATAAATTCTTCTATAAGGTAAATAACCATCTTTATCCCACGAAAAATAAATACCTGCTATGTATCTTGTAAATACAGATTTTCAAAGATGTTTCAAAATAGATATAACATTTTGCTTCTCCTTAAAAATTATTTAATAACTATATTCTACAATTCCAGTTGGGTACCATTAGTATGGTACCCAACCATATTAATTGATGAAAAGACTGATGGAAGTCCTCAAATAGTTACAGTAAAATGACAGGCCACACAGGGAACACAATTAACAACATTGGCATTGCTACTGAACTTTGGGAACTGCTGAGGTTCATTAGATGGTAGGAAGCTGGGAAGCAGATTTGTTGTTGTCTGTTTCCTGTATCACAATATAAACTTCATGAGCTCAGGGTCTTTGGTTGGCTCAAGGCTATATTCCCAATATGTAGATAATGCTTTTACAATTTTACAAAAATATTTCCTGGAAGAATATAATCGTATTTGTTACTTATGTCTTAGGCAGGATGAAAATTTTTATCATTAACAAATTCATCGTGGAATCAATTAAATGATATGTAAATGCAAAACAAGACACATTACATATACATACACACACATAATGTTTATCAAACACTATGGGAAGAAAACTTTTTTTCCCCACACACAAAGCACTACATTTTAATTTATTTTACCCATGACAGTGACATAACCTAAATAATTAACTCAATTAATTCAAGATGAGCTCAGTAAGAACTAGCAAGTAGATACACAAATAGAGAACATGTCTTTGATTTTTCTTTACACTTTTTTAGCTAGATAATACTGAGTAGATTAATTGCAGCCTATTATTCTATATATTTGAGGATAGAAAATAAAAGTGTAGCAAGTTCATGGATTTAGTACTGATAAAAACATGAGTAAATGAAAATATATGATGCAGTAGATATCAAAAGAATATACCTGTAATACACACTACTATATATAAAATAGATAACTCATAAGGACCTCCTGTATGGCACAGGGAACTCAATACTCGTTCGTTCATATGGCTGAGTAATATTCTATTGTATGTATATAGCACGTCTTCCTAATCTAGTCATCTGTCGATGGGCATTTATGTTGTTTCCATGTCTTGGCTACTGTAAATAGTACTGCTATGAACATTGGGGTGCAGGTATCTTTTCGAATTAGAAGTTTTTTGAGTGACTTTAGAACACAGTTCAGAACATTCCAAAGACAAAAAGAACTAGAAAAGCCATTTTAGATTTCATTCAGTCATTTCCTTGGAAGTGTTGATATCGGTTTTGTTATCTGAAATCATTTTCCTCATAATGCAGTCTAAACACATTTTGGGGTTAATAATGTTAGGCATCAAGAATTTCAGGATAAGAGAAAAAAACACCTAATTATAAAATCAAAGAACAGAGTAAAACACTGTAATGTTAAACAGAATTGACTATATCATCATAAACTCACGATTTTCAAAAATACATTTTTTCAAGCTGTACAGAATGAAATAACTAGAAACATTGCCAACTCAGCAGAAAAGAGCACCCCTAGCACCCA